CTATTGACAATCGCAGGACCCTATTGACAATCGCAGGACCCTATTGACAATCGCAGGACCCTATTGACAATCGCAGGACGCTATTGACAATCGCAGGACGCTATTGACAATCGCAGCACGCTATTGACAATCGCAGCACGCTATTGACAATCGCAGGACTCTATTGACAATCGCAGGACACAAAGCATTGTCTATTGCAGCAAAATGTTGACCATCTGTACAGACTGTCAGTCCTTTCTGCTATTTTTGTATATTCATTTTATTCCTCCCACATCTCTGCCTCGCTGTATGAAGCCGGTTTATTTTATGGCATTGTATCTATATTTATGTCTGTTTCCTCCCAAGGTGATAGAGTGCAGAGAAAGCTAGCATAATGTAAAGGAAATTGCTAAACCCCTACAGAGGTAATTGGTGACCTTGGATTTAGTGCAGCAGCATAGCAACCAAGTCATTAATGGCTAGAAAGCATTTGCTACAACTAGTATTGGGGGGGGGGGGGGGTGTGGGGGCTCTGGTTATGTGTCAGCAGTGTTGTTCCTTTTTAATTTTTTTGTCAAAGCAATGGAATTGATTAGGCTTGTCTAGTTAAATCATGTCTTTTTCTTTTTCCTTGTAGTGACTATAGAACATTCTTTAGAAAGAGGTAAGCCAGTGTCATTTTGGTGTATATTCCTTTTTATTGATAATTCAGTTTTTGTGAAACAAGATTTCCTTTAACACTTTTCTCTGTCTCCTATTTCCCTTCTACAGCTTTATACCTATTCATGTTTCATATAGTCTTTTTACTCTTTGTTTGGACGTACTGGAAAGCAATTTTTACTCCTGCCAAAGAGCCAACAAAAAAGGTGGGATTCTTCTATTGATACATTATGTACATTTATAGGGTCAGTACATGCAGAACTGATATTTCAAGTTGTTGCCATCTATCCATAATTGAAACACTCATTAGCTTTGTCTCTCTCTGGCAGTGGGATCTCTGTATCTGAGTTCTTAGCTGTATCTACCAGACGCAGCTATTACAGGACAGTTCCAGTCTTTGTGCTGATCTTTCCTTTACTGAATGCAGCACTAAGAATGAACATCTGTGGCAAGGGTAATGCTGTACTAGGAAGTTTATTGTGTTACTCTTGCGGCTGAGGACTCAAGAAGCTAGTGGATATGTCAGCTAATAAACATACACTATATGTATTCTTTTAGTTTTTAACAGTCTCACCCTTAGATGCACTTTCCATTCTTCATATCCTATATATCAAATCTAGTATTTAAAGGGATTCAGGAGATTGCCGTATTCTGCTTAAAGAGCCTTCCTCCAGTAGAGAATTTAGCTGATCAGTGCACACTCACCCAGTGAGGTATCATCCCCACAACAGACTTTTGTTGTTTTTTCTAAAGTATCTATAGCTTCCAGCACACACTTTCTTGCTCCCCCAGTGATATCTGCACTTTAGCACACACAGCTCACTCTCCAACATCCATATCACTAGAGTGTTTCCAGCACACACAGCTTGCGTTCCAGTATGCATCAGACCAGTATCCATGCCACCAGTGAGAGTTGCTTCCCAGTATTCCTGAGACCTGTGACAGCTTCATGCCAGTATACACAGAGATCTGCCACCACTATTTTTGGCACCCTTTCCCATATTCATGTCACTAGAGTATGCTTAACCCACACAGCTCACTTTAAAGTATGCATAACGTCAAAAGACATACACTCCAGTACACACAGCATGATTTTACAGTCTCTGTTACTACCAGTGAGACATGCACTTCAGCACACACAGCTCACTCTCCTGTATCTATGGTACCAGTGAGATTTGGACACAGGCGCATGCAGCTCTTTTCCCAGTATTCATGCCAGTAGTGAGGACCATAGTCCAGTGCATGCAGCTCACTCCCAGCAAGATCTATACTCCAGCACACACAGCCCACGTTCCAGTATCCCTCTAGTAATATAGATATAGGTATCCCTCTAGTAATATAGACCCCTTTAAACCAGTAGTAGCCAAACAGTTTATCACCTCTAAACACGTTTTTGTTTCCTTTACAATCACACATTTTTCTATACTGAGAAAGGGTACACTCCAATCCAATTTATCCTGAGCATCAATGGCGCGGTTTAGCTAATATATATTTTCTCACTTATTGCTTTTTTTTAGAAGCTATCACTCTAGGACAGGACTACAGAAACTTTCTCCTCTCCTATTTTCTATAACATTAAAGCGAGGGGGGTGTCTGTAATCCCCAGAGATAACTGGGAACCATGTAACTAATAAGAAGGCAGCACATAGTTATAAGCTGACAAGATTCCTGGCAAGGTCATCAGGTATTTTTTGCAGTTACTGAGCAGACATAACAAAACACTTTAAATTGTATATTTAACAAACTAAAGGGGAGCAAATAAAAGAAGTTCATTATTAGGTTTTAAAGGCACTTTAAAAACATGTTGGGCCAGAGTTTTGCTGTAAGACTTGGAACATGCATACAGTGCCATAGGCAATTGTTGCTATAATAACATTGCTTCTTGACTATTGCGTGAGAATGAATAATGCAGATTATGACTCTATGTATCACAGGCAATTATAATCAAATTCTAGTTAAATAATAGGATAATCGTAGCTAGCTTTTATAGCTGCTCATAATATTGAGCTACATAGTTTACCTGTTACTAACAAAAGATGTGTAGTTGTATAACTGAATTCATACTTGTGCTTTCAGTTTTTGCTGCCTTATGCTGAAAAGGAGCGATATGACAATGAGGAGCGCCCAGAGATTCAGAGGCAAATCCTTGCTGAATTTGCAAAGACGCTACCAGTTTACACCCGGACAGCAAATGGAGGTTAGCCAAGAACATATTATTTTAATATCTCTGACATAATAAGCCTCTATGTTGCCCAGTAGCAGCCAGTCACATTCAGTCTGTCGGAATACAGCTATGGTGCAATCCTTGGCCCTGCACTGTACTATTTACTGAGATGGGGAGGGTATAGTGTCAAGTGCCAGTGGGGTGGCAAGTCCAATGACTGCTGACTGATCTTTCACCAGCCTTCATTCTTAGTGAGACCAATCTAGGGACCCTTTCATACTTTTGTAATGTATGCTGTTTTGTTTTCATGCATTTTGGCATTTTAATGTTGGTTTCTAACACATATCGATACATACGCATGGTTTTTCATCAAAACTGAAGTGGCCTAAATAAGCTATTTAACGTCTTCAGCCTTTCAGAACAAATCAGGTTGAATGTGACTAACTACTCCTAGCTGTTGTCTGGCATTTTTTATTTCCTATACCCTTTAGCCTTGTTTTATTGATGACAGTGATTGTTAACTTTTGACCCATACCTATATATGTATTTCAGCCATTCGTTTTTGTGATCGGTGCCAGGTAGTGAAGCCCGATCGCTGCCATCACTGCTCTGTCTGTGGGATGTAAGTATCTTACTGCCATTCAGTTTCATTGTGCCGGTGCAGTTTAATACACTACTTAGAAGGTGTGTCCTTTCAAAACAGTGGTCTAAATGAGTCCTCCTTTCAGAGTTCTGCAATCTACAACTTAAGGTTTATTGTGATTAAAGTAAACCTGTCGGTTACATCAATGCTAGACGTATCTAACCATACAGTCTCATTGCCATGTAATGTTGTGTGCAGTACTTTATGGTAATTCTCTCTTATTCTTCTGGTGGACCTCTGAATCTTAGGGGCATACTATATGCAGGGTATTGACTTCTTCGTAACATAAAGTTATGTCTTGCCCTCCTCCCTTCCTACACCATTGAACAGTGCAATACCAATGGCTTGACTGCAAGTAGAGGCTTTTGTATTTTACTATTAAGTTGTACATCTCCCATGCAGGCAGAAGTGAAGTCTTTGTGTATAGTGCTTAATCAGGATGTAGGGGTGCCTTTTAAATACCCTCTGATTTCTGTGAACCACAGTGCTACAGTGTGCCTGGATGTTGGCAGTATTGCTCGTTTGAACACATAAATGTAGCTGACAGGATCACTTCATTCTTTTTATTTTCATCTTGTGAGGGTAAACGCACCCATAGATGTATATTAACTTGATATTCATAGCATTTTTTTTGTTCCCACAGGAGTAGATGTTGCTTGGGTCAGCTTTTGTTTAATTGATACCCTCAGTAGGGCTCTGATGTTCACATTAAAGGAAACCTGTGCCAAGAGAAATATGGACGGTGGCATTGCTGATCCTCTGCTAAGAATGCTGTTTGTCTGTCTCTAGTTTTAGACTATGACCCTGGAACCCACACACAGATTATAAAGTGAGAGGGAATTCAGACCTTCAAATCCACATGCTTGCTACAGACCAATGCATCAATATTGAATCCATTTGGTCAGCATCACAGCTGGCATTTTCAGTAGGAGAGATCAACAATGCCAGCCTCCATATTTTTTCAGTAGAGGTTATTTGTAACAGAAACATAAAGAGGCATAATTGGGCCAATTTTCTCACCTATTCCTGTTTCTTCACTACCAATTCCTGTTGAGAGAGTTGCCACATTTTATAATCGAAATTTGCAACATGCAATCGCCTGTAGAGTCCTTTGTCACTGCCGACCTGTGTGTTTGGCACAATTATAGGACCGCCAGTGTTACTTTTATTGTTTCACATTCCAGTGGAAGACCTGCTGCCCTTAATTCATCTTGTTCTTGCCTTACACGTTAACTGCACGTTCTATTCTCTACAAATGAAGATATCAGCCTGGTAACCAACTTTCCTACTGTACCTGGCTGCACAAAATGTAAATCTTATGAATAGCAGGGGATTGAGGTTGAGTACTAATTAATATAGATATTACCCGAATAGTCATATATTGTGTTACTGGAAGGATTAGTATCTTTTCATGCCTTAGGGTAAACCCTTCATGAGAACGATATAGTGGACATGGCTGACGACATCATGAAAATGCTACTTTTCTGGCTATTATACTGGTCTATTAGGTTAAATACTTTGCATCATTGATTCAGAGCAAATATACAGAACAAAAACGTTTAAAAAACATTGCTCATCTGTATGCTTTTTCTGGCTTCATGACAGTCAGGCAACTAGTATTTAAAGAATGAAGCTGTCAGTGGCAGTCTCCATGTTTCTTTCAGGAAATTTTTCCTTTTTTTTGTTGCTAGTATATTTAAACTTCTCTTTATCTTGCCATAGGTGTGTCTTGAAAATGGACCATCATTGCCCATGGTATGTATCTGGAATAATTCTTGTATTATGCACTTTGCAAAGAAAATGCCACCCAAAACTGAAGCGTCCATAGTTGATTCTCCGGACAAAATCTTTTTCTGAAGTTTTATACGGTTATAGAGTGAGAGAGGGTTAGAACCCCTGTCATGGGCATCACAGAGAGAAGACTTGATTTTCTTTGTAATAGAGTTTAGGCTTCAAGTTGATTTATTTGTCCATTGCTAAAACCATCAAAGTTAGCTCAGCAATTCTGAGCTCTATACATAAAAATGCTAGTTGCCTGTCCGTAATGATTACCACCCTGTTCACTTATTAAGAGTCGCTGACCCAGAGAAAGTATCAGGACTTCTGATTTTCCTGGCCTACATACTTGTTTTGATATGGGGGAACACGAGTTGGTCAGCATTACAGACAGCGTTTTCAGCAGTAGTTACCTTTACCCATATCTTTAAAATAACAACAAACACACCTTTTTAGAAATGTTTAGTAATGACAATTTACAAACACATTCTAGATAATTGCCGGCTTTGAATTCTTTGCATACCTTATTTCTCCTTTCTTTCCCAGTCTTCTGACAGTGGCCATGTTTATTAAGGGCATATTACTAGCTTTCCTATTACTTCCTGGATTTCTGGCACATGTGACTAGGACATGTGACCATGCACATCATCTCAGGGGAGGAAAATGCCTTTCACTGAGATTAGATTTCCCAGCAATGCTCTGCTGATAAGGCAATCCCAGTGTGCATTGCTTTGGCAAACTGAAGTCATTTGCCCTTTTCAAAGCAGGAAGTGAATGTTCTGCAAGTGTAAGTATTTCAAAATCACAGCATTTTACACTTGACATGTCTATGTTATTATTAATATCATACATACAGGGATGCACCGGTAGAATTTTGAGTCTAAAGGTCTGCTTTAATAGTGGCAGTCCCCATATTTCATGACAGGTTTACTTTTTATGTTTAATCATTTTTTTTTTTTTTTTTACAACTCTAATTTCAAGTATTTTTGGGAGGGGGACATTAAGGACAGCTTTAAGTTACTGTTACCTGTGAGCATTAAAAGGAACCAGTCAGGGTAGATGCTCCGAGGCTCTGATTCTTCTCCTTCCTTCGTTGCCTGGTGAGTCACTGACCTAGAGACTTTCCAGGTCTTACTTGATGAGGATGACAATGCTGGAGGCACAAGCCAGCAGCAGCAGCTTCCATGTCCATCATGAGGGGCTCCTATCCTCTGTATAATATATTAATAATTTCAGGACTGGATAAGTCATCACTCTTTTAGTATTTCCGTGGGCAATATTTTATGATCTGCGGTGAAAGTTAGTTTTTTTTTGTTTTTTTTTTAAAGTTGCGGGTAGGACAGGTAGTTGGTTAATATTTTAAAGAAACACTAAACCAGCAGTGGCTAATAGATATGTAAAAGCTTCTAAACATCAAACAAGTGTAAATTATTTACCATGGCATGCATATGTCGGTGACCTAAGCATGTAATTGCCTGCAGTGTTTACTGCAATTACAACATTGGGATTTTACTTAACCAGCACACAGAAACCAGAGCACACACTGATCTGTCTCCTGATGCCTATCAATCCATCTCAAGATATCTATACACTGAGTGGCCAGATTATTATGACCACCTGACGTTTCTGGGCAAATTAGCTATAATTTTGCGCTGAAGTTGCTAGAGGGCCAGACCATTATAAATAGGGAAGCAGGTTGTTTACCACGACAGTAGAAGTGATTTATATGGGTAGAAGATGGAAGATATGGGTAAACAACGCGATTTAACAGCCTTTGAACGTGGGATGATTGTTGGCGCTCGGAGACATGGAGCGAGTATCAGCAAAACAGCAGAATTCGTTAAATGTTCAAGAGCAGCTGTTGTTAAAGTGTTTAAAGACTGGACTGTCAGCCGAAAATCTGGGTCTGAACGTGCGAATTGTGGCCGTCAGCGACTAGTCAATGTTAGGGCAGAACGGAGAGTGGCAAGACTGGTACAAGGCAACAGTGCATCAAATGACTGCAGATCTTAATCAGGGATCCTCTCAAATGATCTCTGAACGCACTGTTCCCGTACACTGCATCGTATGGGATATGGAAGCCGAAGGCCTGTTCGAACACCTTTGATTTCTGCAAGATAAAACGTCTCCAATTCGCACAGGAACACAAGGATTGAACAGTCGAGCATTGGAAAAAAGTAATGTGGTCCGATGAATCACGTTTCCAGTTGCATCATGCAGATGGCAGAGTGAGAATTTGTCGGGAACAGCATGAAAGCATGCACCCAACATGCATGAGTACAACCCTTCAAGCTGGTGGGGGCAGTGTTATGGTTTGGGGCATGTTTTCCTGTCATGATTTGGGCCCTTTAATTCGTGTGGAACAACGTCTGAATAGCACAACATACCAAAGTATCGTTGCTGATCAAGTTCATCCTATCATGTTGATGGCGTATCCCAATGGAGATGGCTTCTTTCAACAAGACAATGTGCCATGCCACGGTGCTCGCATTGTGCAGGAGTGGTTTCAAGAACATGAGGGAGAATTTACCTTGCTTAGGAGGCCCCCACAATCACCAGATCTCAATCCAATTGAGCATTTGTGGGGCGAAGTTGAAAGAGCCATCAGGCAGCTGGTTACACAACCATCAAATCTCGCAGAACTGGACAGTGCTATTCATCAGGCATGGGTTCAGATTCCTTGCATCACCTTTCAACATCTCGTGGACACAATGCCAAGAAGAATCGCCGCAGTATTGAAGGCAAAAGGTGGGCTAACGAAGTACTGATGGGGTGGTCATAATAATCTGGCCACTTAGGGTATAGGGCTCCGTTGACATATGGGCATCTCGTGAACGTGTACAAACGGGGAATGCCCATGCGTTGCCATCACAGGTGTTAGAAACTGCACGTACACACAGGGTACTTCATTTCCTCTTTTGGCGCGCGCCCAGGCACCCAATTGGGCCACTCCCCAAGCCTGCGACTGCCAGGGCGACGCATGTTAACACGATACTATGGTGTGAATGGAGGCTTACTGATAAACTTTTATGATTGTACATACATAAGCATATGATATTCCCTGCAAAATGTATCATAAATTGTCTCTTTCTATGTTTTTAAAACATATAACGATTTTGAAACCCCCTCAAAGAATGATAGTATATTTATTAATCTTCTATCAAATGAAAGTTATTTCTCTCTAGATAAAAAAACTCATACACAGAAATTAAAAAGAGACTTTAGCCCCCTGTCTGTCCATAAAATGGTGCAACTTGTGACATATTTATGTTCCTGTCGGTAAGGTGTGTGTAAAAAAAAAAAAAAATCTGTCTCAGAAATACCTCACTTAATCCAACATGGAAAAGCTCATCTTTACTTCCACTTTTCTTATCACCGATATGGCGGTACTTGTTCATGAATTTGTTGCAGCCATAGTGCCAGAATGTAAAAAGTGTTGTCCCCATCTTCCACAGTAAAACATTGGAGTGATAGATCCACTCACCAGACAGAAATGCAACTTCCAGCAACATTTTTACAAAGAGACTTCTTCAGCATTGTGTTAGTAGTTGTATTTTCCTCATGACTGGCAGGAACTCAACAGCCAATTTTGGTTTTTGTTCCCCTGCGGCCTACATGCTAGGCAGCCAGTGCTCTTCACCTTGCTAATAGTGTGGTGCACCTGTCATCCTGTGACCGCAGCGCTGAACACTGAAAAATGGCCTGGCCAGGTAGGGGATCTAAACACCTGGTCTTCAAGCAGTTAAAGAGACAGATAAGACAAGATCTTTCTTGAAAAGCCAGAAGGTGTTGGTTTGATACGTTACATTACAGTGAAGAGAAACCAAATAAATCTCGGAATGTGTTTCCACTATACATTGTTAATTGGAATGTGCAACTTGATGCACATCTTGTAGGTCTTGCACATTACATGATCATTAATAATTTGGCAGGTATCCAGTGATGTGTTTAGTTTGGTGAATAGTCACAATGTTCTGTTCTTTATAACCTCTTGTTATACAGGGCTGTAGTAATACTGCACAGAACAATAGGTGTAATTTACTATTTAAAAGGCTCAATGTGTCTCCTTTCCTTTTAAATACTTCACATAGCTTTTAAATGAGACCCTCCTGCTAAATTGTTGATTTTGCTTTGAGTGACGGCAGCCTGTGCATTTTTTTTTCTTTTCCTTTTTTTTTTTTTGCAGTTATTTTGCAAATGTATTTTCTTTGCAGTTAGATGTAAAAAAAATGTCCCCCTTCCTCTTGTAATCTCTGTTCCTTCTTTTCTGCTTTCTCTAAGTCTGTCTGAATTTGGTTTCTGGCTATCTGACTTGAGTGGAAAACACATTATTACCCAAGAAACCACAGCCTGTTTAGCAAATGAAGGAGATTGCTAAAGGAATTTAACATCTTAGCATTGGATCCAAGCAGCAATCCTATAGAGGATAGCATATATTAATATACGGTTCTGCTCAAAAGTTTGCATACCCTTGGAGAATTGGTAATATACTGTATGTACCCTTAGTAAAGAAAACATGTGAGTGAGCAGGCAAAACACATTTCCTTTATTTCTTATGGGATTCATATTCAACTGTAGGCCATAACAGAATGGCACAATCATAAAACAAAACATGGCAACAAATAAAAACAATTCAATGGCCTCTGTTCAAAAGTCTGCATACCCTTAGTTCTTAATACTGTGTATTGCCCCCTTTAGCATCAATTGTCTGTGAGGCCCTGAATTCTTGCAGGAGGTATAGCTGCCCATTCGTCTTGGCAAAATGCCTTTAGGTCATGCAAAGTCTTTCATCGTCTTGCATGAACTGCACGTTTAAGATCTCCCCAGAGTTGCTCGGTGGTATTAAGGTCAAGAGACTGATGGCCACTCCAGAACCTTCACCTTTCTCTGCTGCAACCACTGGAGGGATAACTTGGCCCTGTGCTTTGGGCCATTCTCGTGCTGGAAAGTCCAAGAACTTCCCATGCGCAGCTTTCATGCAGAACAATGCAAATTGTCTGCCAGTATTTTCTGATAACTCCCCAAAACATCAGTGAGCCGCCATTATGCTTCACAGGGGGATGATATTCTTGTCGCTATAGGCCTTGTTGACCCCTCTCCAAACATAGTGCTTATGGTTGTGACCAAAAAGCTCTATTTTTGTCTCGTCACTCCAAATTACAGTGTGCTAGAAACTGTGAGTTGTGTCAAGGTGCTGTCGGGCATATTGTACCTGGACTTTTTTTGGCATTGGCACAGTAAAGGCTTCTTTCTGGCAAATCGGCCATACAGCTCATTTTTGTTCCAGTATTGTCGTATTTTGCCCACACCCTATTTTTCCGGAGCAGCCTGTATTTCTCCTGAGGTTACCTGTGGATTTTCTTTGTATCCGGAACAATTTTTTTGGCAGTTGTGGCTGCATCTTTCTTGGTCTACCTTACCCTTGGTTATTTTCTTTTGCCCATGGCCCAGTATCTAGCCTGCTCAGTGCATCCACGTGAGAGCTAACAAACGCATTGACTATTTATACACAGACACTAATTGCAATTTAAAAAGCCACAGATGTGGGGAAATTGAGCTTTAATTGCCATTTTAACCTGTGTGCGTCTGTAACAAGGCCAAACATTCTAGGGTATGTAAACTTTTGATCAGGGCCATTTGGGTGATTTTCTGTTAAGATTTTAAGGAGCCAAACAACTATGTCATAATAAATGGCTTCATATGATCACTATTGCCAAAAGTATTGGGACACCTGCCTTTACACGCACATGAACTTTAAGGGTTAGTTCACACCATAGGCAGTGCGTTCCGGGCTGAAGGGTGCGTGGCGGGCCATTGAAGTGAATGGCACCGTAGCCACGCCCTGCGGCCACATTATGATCGCCCGCACGGGATTGCAAGGCACATTGTGCCTGCAATGCGGTCCGGTGTGATCAAAATAGTGCTAGCAGCATTTTGATCGCACCGGACTGCACTGCAGGCACAATGTGCCCTGTGATCCCATGTGGGCACGGCCACGGTGCCATTCACTTCAGTGGCCCACCACACCCCCTCCTGCCCGGCAAAAAAGTAAGCCGGCCGCAATGCAAGGCAGTGCATTCCGGCCAGAAACGGACCGGAACACACTGCTTCTGGTGTGAACTAACCCTAATGGCATTGCAATCTTAGTCCGTAGGGTTCAATGTTGAGTTGGCCCACCCTTTGCAGCTATAACAGCTTCAACTCTTCTGGGAAGGCTGCCCACAAGGTTTAGGGGTGTGTCTATGGGAATGTTTGACCATTCTTCCAGAAGCGCATTTATGAGGTCAGGTACGATGTTGGACAAGATGGCCTGGCTCGCAGTCTCCACTCTAATTCATCCCAAAGGTGTTCTATCGGGTTGACGTCAGGACTCTGTGCAGGCCAGTCCACCCCAAACTCGCTCATACATGTCTTTATGGACCTTGATTTGTGCACTGGTGCACAATCATGTTGGAACAGGAAGGGGCCATCCCCAAACTGTACCCACAAAGTTGGGAGCATGAAATTGTCCAAAATGTCTTGGTATGCTGATGCCTTAAGAGTTCCCTTCACTGGAACTAAGGGGCCAACCCCACACCATAATTCCCACTCTACCAAACTTTACACTTGGCACAATGCAATCAGGCAAGTACCGTTCTCCTGGCAACCGTCAAGCCCAGACACATCCATCGGATTGCCAGACAGAGAGGCGTGATTCGTCACTCCAGAGAACATGTCTCCACTTCTCCAGAGTCCAGTGGCGGCGTGCTTTACACCAATGCATCCGACGCTTTGCATTGCACTTGGTCATGTAAGGCTTGGATGAGCTAACTAAGGGGCCAACCCCACACCATAATTCCCACTCTACCAAACTTTACACTTGGCACAATGCAATCAGGCAAGTACCGTTCTCCTGGCAACCGTCAAGCCCAGACACATCCATCGGATTGCCAGACAGAGAGGCGTGATTCGTCACTCCAGAGAACATGTCTCCACTTCTCCAGAGTCCAGTGGCGGCGTGCTTTACACCAATGCATCCGACGCTTTGCATTGCACTTGGTCATGTAAGGCTTGGATGCAGCTGCTTGGCCATAAAAACCCATTCCATGAAGCTCTCTACGCACTGTTGTTGTGCCAATCTGAAGGCCACACAAAGTTTGGAGGTCTATAGCTATTGACTCACTGCAGACAGTTGGCGACTTCTGCGCACTGTGCGCTTCAGCATGCGCTGACCCCACTCTGTCATTTTACGTGGCCCACAGCTTCGTGTCTGAGTTGCTGTTGTTCCCAGTTGCTTCCACTTTGTTATAATACCACTAACAGTTGACCGTGGAATATTTAGTAGCAAGGAAATTTCACGGATGGACTTATTGCACAGGAGGCAACCTATCACGGTACCACGCTTGAATTCACTGAGCTCCTGAGAGCGACCCATTCTTTCACAACTGTTTGTAGAAGCAGTCTGCATGCCTACATGCTTGATTTTATACACCCGTGGCCATGGAGGTGATTGGAACACCTGAATCAAATGATTTGGAGGGGTGTCCCATTACTTTTCAATATAGTGTATATATAATAAAATCTACAATTCATAAAATGTATATTTGTGTATAAATGTATATTTTACATGTATTTACAGTTTTTCAATTATTTTTCAGGGTGAACAACTGTATTGGATTTTCTAACTATAAATTCTTCTTGCTGTTCCTGGCATATTCCATGTTGTACTGTTTCTATATCGCTTCCACAGCTTTTAAGTACTTCCTTCTTTACTGGTCGGTAGGTATTTTACTGTCTATAGTGCATGCTCCATTTGAGTTGTTTTGTGACTCTTGGTATCTTTAAGACTGTTTCAAAAGAGTTTTGTAGTTTTGCTACAATGGTAATAGATATGCTTTAGTCGTGTACTTCTACCAGTACACAACATATATGACAAAACATTGTTTTACATTTTTACCATGGAACTGATTGGCCATAACAAAAAAAAATCAGGATCTTGGCTTTGGAAGGATGGGATGTTTATAATTTATTAACCACACATATTTCATGTTGTGTAACTTACAGAAGAGTTGTTTTGATCCCTCGTTCACACCTGACCGTTTTGTAGCGCGTTCTACGCTCGACGAACGCTCTACAAAACGGTCAAAAATATAAATTGCATTGTAGTCAATGGCCTCGTTCCCACCTTGCCGTATTTCTGCCCGTCCCTAACGCCCTAAAAAATGGCCCACGCCTGAAAAGGTCCAGGTACTACTTTGGGCTGTTTTGTAGGGCGTTTTCCATTGGGATACAGCCAAGTAGCCTTCGGAATCGCGCGACGGTCGCGCATATTACAATACGCCTAGGTGTGAATGGGGCCTTAAAAGGAAAATATTGAACTCTGTTTTATAGGCCCTGTTGTGTAACATCAATGTAGACAGTTAATAATTATTCTAAAGATAATTAAAATACGTGCCCCATTGCTGTCTTTGAAATATGTTTTAAACGTATACTCGCATTAAAATATTTAAATTAACCCTTGAGATGCCTAAAGGAAGCATGGCGTACTGCTCAGTTTTTTTTATTGTGTACCTCACCTCCTTGGTGAGCTGGAGACCACTGGAGGTAATATTAAGATGGAGAGTGGTTTGAAAGAGATCAGAAATGTCCATTTCTGTCGCCCCTGCTGAGACTGAACCCAAAAGTGCTCAGTATGAGCACTTGCGGATCATAGCTGCCAATGTCCTGGCACAGATGCTGGGTGCAGTAGCAGATCTCATCGGATTGCCAGACAGAGAGGCGTGATTCGTCACTCCAGAGAACATGTCTCCACTTCTCCAGAGTCCAGTGGCGGCGTGCTTTACACCAATGCATCCGACGCTTTGCATTGCACTTGGTCATGTAAGGCTTGGATGCAGCTGCTTGGCCATAAAAACCCATTCCATGAAGCTCTCTACGCACTGTTGTTGTGCCAATCTGAAGGCCACACAAAGTTTGGAGGTCTATAGCTATTGACTCACTGCAGACAGTTGGCGACTTCTGCGCACTGTGCGCTTCAGCATGCGCTGACCCCACTCTGTCATTTTACGTGGCCCACAGCTTCGTGTCTGAGTTGCTGTTGTTCCCAGTTGCTTCCACTTTGTTATAATACCACTAACAGTTGACCGTGGAATATTTAGTAGCAAGGAAATTTCACGGATGGACTTATTGCACAGGAGGCAACCTATCACGGTACCACGCTTGAATTCACTGAGCTCCTGAGAGCGACCCATTCTTTCACAACTGTTTGTAGAAGCAGTCTGCATGCCTACATGCTTGATTTTATACACCCGTGGCCATGGAGGTGATTGGAACACCTGAATCAAATGATTTGGAGGGGTGTCCCATTACTTTTCAATATAGTGTATATATAATAAAATCTACAATTCATAAAATGTATATTTGTGTATAAATGTATATTTTACATGTATTTACAGTTTTTCAATTATTTTTCAGGGTGAACAACTGTATTGGATTTTCTAACTATAAATTCTTCTTGCTGTTCCTGGCATATTCCATGTTGTACTGTTTCTATATCGCTTCCACAGCTTTTAAGTACTTCCTTCTTTACTGGTCGGTAGGTATTTTACTGTCTATAGTGCATGCTCCATTTGAGTTGTTTTGTGACTCTTGGTATCTTTAAGACTGTTTCAAAAGAGTTTTGTAGTTTTGCTACAATGGTAATAGATATGCTTTAGTCGTGTACTTCTACCAGTACACAACATATATGACAAAACATTGTTTTACATTTTTACCATGGAACTGATTGGCCATAACAAAAAAAAATCAGGATCTTGGCTTTGGAAGGATGGGATGTTTATAATTTATTAACCACACATATTTCATGTTGTGTAACTTACAGAAGAGTTGTTTTGATCCCTCGTTCACACCTGACCGTTTTGTAGCGCGTTCTACGCTCGACGAACGCTCTACAAAACGGTCAAAAATATAAATTGCATTGTAGTCAATGGCCTCGTTCCCACCTTGCCGTATTTCTGCCCGTCCCTAACGCCCTAAAAAATGGCCCACGCCTGAAAAGGTCCAGGTACTACTTTGGGCTGTTTTGTAGGGCGTTTTCCATTGGGATACAGCCAAGTAGCCTTCGGAATCGCGCGACGGTCGCGCATATTACAATACGCCTAGGTGTGAATGGGGCCTTAAAAGGAAAATATTGAACTCTGTTTTATAGGCCCTGTTGTGTAACATCAATGTAGACAGTTAATAATTATTCTAAAGATAATTAAAATACGTGCCCCATTGCTGTCTTTGAAATATGTTTTAAACGTATACTCGCATTAAAATATTTAAATTAACCCTTGAGATGCCTAAAGGAAGCATGGCGTACTGCTCAGTTTTTTTTATTGTGTACCTCACCTCCTTGGTGAGCTGGAGACCACTGGAGGTAATATTAAGATGGAGAGTGGTTTGAAAGAGATCAGAAATGTCCATTTCTGTCGCCCCTGCTGAGACTGAACCCAAAAGTGCTCAGTATGAGCACTTGCGGATCATAGCTGCCAATGTCCTGGCACAGATGCTGGGTGCAGTAGCAGATCAGGAAACCCCGTGACGAAGAAGCAGTACTTTGACTGACGTTTATTCCGTCATGCAACGCTGTACTGAAATGTATTTTATGCAATTTTTTGGGGACAGATAGAGCTTTCTTTTGCTGGTATTTAAACACCACTGGGGTTTTTATTTTTTACTATACAGGTATTCCTCACTTAACGACCGAGTTCCGTTCCTACGACCAGGTCGTTAAACGGATTGGTCGTTAAGTGAGGAACTCTGTACAGTACTGTATAGCGTTGCCGATGTACAGTACCGAACAGTGTACTGTACATCGGGCAATGGAAATACTTACCGGGACCTGCAGTGAAGATCGGAGGATGTCACTTCCGCCGGCGACACGTCGCACTGACGCTGACGCGCAAGGTCGGAGGTCGATCGGCGGTCCGTCGTAAGTGCGAGTGGTCGCAAAACAGTTAAGTCGGTAAGTGAGGAACATCTGTAATTAGGAAAAATGACAGAAAATTTTGAAAAAGAAAAAGGTTTTTTTTTTTTACATTATGTTAGGAAACATTTATTATTACCCAGTTTTTTGGTAAAATATAAAAGACGGGGTCACGTCGGGTAAATAGACACCAAACATGTCAAGCTTTAAAATTGCACGCACCCGCGAAATCGCAGAAAACTAACATACCCAAAATTGGCCATAGGCGACACTTTAAAAGCTTTTACCGCTCATCAGTTTAGTGTTATCAGTGATTGATGGCCCTACAATTATTGCTCTCACTCCGACGTTCGCGGCGATATTTAACGTGCGGCGTAATGGCCGCAATCGTCTTTTTTGCACGTATGCGCCCCCAACGCATGTTTTTTATGGGTAACTTTAAACTTTGGGGGGGAACCCACATTCCCCCCCCCCCCACTAAACTTTATTGCTATCACATACGGGGCTAATTAAACTCCCCTATGTGATGGCAAAATATGTGACAGGTCCGCGGAAGGGGGGGGGACCGATCGGCACCCATACACACGATCCGCCGTCTCTACAGCCGGCGGATCGCTTGTATGGTAACAGGCATCGCTGCCTGTTTTTAAATATCTGCCATTTCCCGCTCGCGCGCTGAGCAGCGCACGCGACAGGGCGTGTCTAAGCGGATGTCCTAAAGACGCACGCTCAGATCTAGAGAGCTTCCGGCCGGCCATTTTTTTTACTAGGGCCGGCCCGGAGGCAGTTAATGGGACTTCCGGTATCAGCGAGTACCGGAAAAAAAATATCAGTACTCCTACTCGATACTGAAAAAATGGTATTGGTGCATCTCTAATATATAGCCCTATCTGTCCTCTAAAAAAACAATTTATAATATGTGTGGGTGCACATTGTAAGAAAGTATATTACTGCTGTGGAAGCAAAAATTTTAAAAGGGTGTTGGTCATTAACGAACAGAAACTAAAAACAAGCTCAGTCATGGTTGGTTAAATGAGTACAGGTATAGGAAACGTCTGTGGTACATGTAGTCATATTGTTTAGCTCTTTAAATGCAATAAGACAATAGCAAAATGTTAATGTATATCTTAAATCTAGGAACAAATAATTGTTATATTGCAGCTTACCAGTCCTTCGATATGGTGACTCTTCCATAAATACAGTGGGGGAGTAAGTGTAGCCACCCAGGGATAGGAAGTGTGTTAATCACAGGATCACTAGGTGAAAATAAGGGGGGGGGGGGGCCTGAAAAAAGGAGAAGGAATCCTGGCATCTCATCTTGTGACTGGTAAGCTGCTATACATATCATTTTTGGGTTTAGGGTTCGTTAACACCAGATGCAGTCTGTTCCATTTGGCAACTGCATCAAAATTACGTCACACTGCTTTCCAATGTGATTTCTGGTATTCTGTTCACACCAATGCTGTCCGTTCTGATGCAGTCATAAAAAAATACTGCTTGCCCCATTTAAGCTGCACCTGATCGCAACGGAATGTATGCAAACGTACTGGACTGCACCTGAAAGCCACTTTAGATTTTAAGAAAAAAGCTGCAAAACGCATTGCACTGCCGCTGCGCAGACACCCACAGTTCTCGTGGGAACTAGCCCTCAGATGCACTTGAAGAGGATGTCATTTAATAGGCAGAGGTGCACAGTAGGCACAAGTGGGTTGAATCTAATTTTTGTTTTGTTCTTACAGGGTGATCTAACAAATAATCGTGCAAAATTCCATGTCCTTTTCCTGCTTTTTGTTGCTCTGATGTTTTTCTTGAGCCTAGTGTTTCTCTTTGGATATCATTGCTGGTTAGTGGGTCTAAACAGAACCACCCTTGGTAAGCTTTTAAACCTTTTTATTACCATTTGTGAGGCATAATGACTCAAAAGCCTGTCTTTGGAAAAATGTACATTTGCTTGAAAAGGTCAATGTAGCATTTAAAGCCTTTGGGTACCCCCGCCCCCCATTATGGAGATTTAAGTCCACTCTCCACAAAATGGAGGTTGTACAGACATTCAGTGCAAATAGCGGTGACATTTTTTTTTTTCGTTTTGAGTTGCTGAGGAGCAGCAAAACCTCTTATTTTGACTTGTCTGCACTTTTAGCCCCACTGTGTTCTAGCGCACTGGGGGCAACTTCCAAAGTCTGAGTTTGGGTCAGGACTTTGGTAAACAGAGAAATGGCAAATGTTGGATGCACTGAGCATAATGTATTGTTTTTATTTAAAGAAAAATCCTTTTAATTGAATTGAGTGTCCCTAGGTAACATATTTGCATATAAAGTAGAGGTTAATACTGCTATTAAACACCCATTGCTGGGACTACTTTCACCGCAGTGGCTGACATAATAGGTGACAGAACTGTCTAGCTAGCACATTAGTGTTTTTTCTACTTTTATGCACCTATTATTTGATAGTAGAAAAAAAGAGCCAAGGAAAACATCCAACGAGATGAACTCCAAGGTCAAGGTATATCCCTGTCTGATTTAATCATCTGTTGCTTTTTGAGCCAGTAGGATTCCACTGTTGAAAGAAAAATCTAGACTGGAATTTGCAAAAATGCATATTGACAAACTGTAAGGCCTCATGCGCACACACAACGCAAGAGCAACATTGTATATTGCGTATATTCCCGCACTGTATGTAATCCCAGAATGCATCATTCTTAATAGAACTTTTAATGCACTGCACGTGCGCACACACGTAAAATATGGAGCCCAGACGGATCTCGAGTCCATTTTTTTTTGTGCATCTTTACTCAGTGCAAATATACGGCTCCACACGCAGCTATGTGTATGGGGCCATTTATTTCCATATGGGAAAATACGCTGTGCGCATCCATACGCAGCGTATTGTACGGAAGTGTGAATAAGGCCTAATGCTTCTAAGAGAATGTCCTTTGGACAGATGAAATAACTGGAGCTTTTTGAAACATGGAGGAGGCTTGGTTGTGTTTTGGGGCTGTTGTATTGTGTCTGGCGTGGGATGCCTTGAATCTGTCTAGGGGACAATGAAATCCCAACAGTATCAAGAAATTCTAGAGCAAAACATACTGCCCAGGGTTACAAAGCTCTGTATCATTTGCAGGTTATGGGTTCTCTAACAGTATAACGACCCAAAACACACAGCTAAAGGCACCCAAGAATGATTAAGAACAAACATTGGACTAGTCTGTAGTGGCCTTCTATGAGCCCTGATCTAAATCCTATAAAACATCTATGGAAAGAGCTGGAGAAGGCACTCTGCAAACTTGAAACAACTGAAGTAGTTTGCTCAGGGAGAGTGGGTCAAACTACCTGTTTCCTAAGTGTTATTGAGGGCTACAGATTCTGCTGGATCAAAAATAGAAAGCGAAATTTGATTTATTTATTTACAATATAGAATAAATAGTCATGGAGGCCGTGTTTTTTTTGGGGGCGGTTAGTTTGAAGTTATTTCAGAGAAAATTTTGGGTTCTACTTTTTTTTTCATCAAAAGGTACCAACAAATGTGTCCACGGTTGTATATTTTAGATCATGAAAACTTTGAATCCACATTTTTTCCCCTCACTCTTGCCAAACTTGAGCAACCATGAAAGAACATTTATCTGCCTTGGCGCACAATTCTCTGTCATCTGTTGATTCTTGTCCTTGCAATTTTATTTTACTATCTACATCTTTAAGGGGCATTCATATAAAGCAATGAATCTGACATTCACCAAACATTCACTGCAAGTGAATATTCTAGGTGCATGTGTTTTTAAATTACAGTGATTGATTCACCACCTATAAAGCAGTGTATGCGACCATTACCAAACATTTTAAGTATGCCCCTAAGTGTCCTCTTGATCCTTATTAGCTTAGTATGGTTTTCGAATCCCCAAAGTGTTTAATATTCAGTACACTCCCCATTATTCGGCATTCAAGCAACCGGCAAAAATCTCGAGGACATAATATGTGCTTCAGCGTATATAATATGAGCAATAATCCGTAATCCGTGACCGAACGGCAATCGTGCACAAAACCGTGTGGACGGATGCGTGGTCACAAAATAGCACACCACTGCTGATCACGCTGGCATTGCCGTTATTTTCTAATGGCGCCCCAGGCAAAATCCACGGTTTCCTGCCACGATACTGCCCGTTCAATAGCGCACGATCGCGGTTTAAAAAACCACATCATACGTGTTGCCAAAAAAGGTACATGTACCTTTTTTCAGCGATTGCCGTGCGGATGTAACCCCATTGCAATCAATGGGGCCGTGCAGCAACCTCTGTGTACACCCGCACACGATCTCGCGATCCTGGGACACGGGTCTCGGGATCGCCGAAGTCTGAACCAGCCCTCAAGCAACCAGAAGCTACAGTTATCTGTCATCTACCGATCCCTGTAGGTGCTGGAAAACTGTGAGTTCACTGTAGTACTTTTCTTCTTATACTGTCATAGGCCTGTTTGTTTTGTCAATAGTCAGATGGTGTAAATGTAAGACATTTCTTAGCATCATGCGTATCAAGCAGATTTGATCCGTGTTTGCCCTGTTTTTGTGACAAACACATTTATAGTCTCCCTCAGTTTCTTCAACATAAGGCTTTATTCTCATTGTTAACATTTTTGTCAATGGTTTAGCAGGGGGATGCCACAGTAGTTCTTGGTGCTTTACCTCCTTTCTTTAGTATAGTGTTAAATATTCTCACATCTGTATAAAGTTAGCCCTCCTTGTTGCATTGTATCTGAACTTACCACATCCTCTTGTGGTGCTATATTGTGTTTCTATCGTTTGATGGCTATTTCTATTTCTTCGTAAGATCAGGCCAGCTCCGATTTTTTTTTTTGTTTTTGTTTTGTTTCTGGGCCATCACTTTCCTTTTGTTTAACAGTTCTTCAAAGAATCCAGTCCACATACCGGTATTTAAAATGTTCTTCTTCCCAATTAGGTTTGCATTTTGTATGTTTCCACTTTGTAATTTTGCAGTTGAAACCTTTTGTTTTCTTCACTAGTCTCTTTGAACACATTGTTTCTTTTCAAACAGATCTTTTACTCACTGGTGTTTTTTCCCTTTCATTTCTCTTCTCTCCCCCCTTGCCTACAGAAACAGATCTGTGCAAAATGATTTAAATTAATTAAAAAGGACAAACGAATTGATTTTATATGTGTATATACACCCCCTTCAAGTCAGTATATATTAGATGTATGTTTGCAGCAGTTTCTGTGGATAGGTCTCTTTTAGCTTTGTACATCTGGACACTGCATTTCCAAAACCGCTGAAGCTCTCTCAGGTTCCGTGGGGATGGAGAGTGAACAGCATTTTTTAATGTCCAGCCACAGACTCTGTTGGATTGACATCTCATCTTACTTGTTCATTCCAGGAAATTAACATTGTTGCTTTTGTTTTTCCATCCATTTTATTGGTTTTAACAAGTAATACAATGAAGTAAAGCTGGCCATACACTCATCTGTTTTTTTCATTCAACCCACGGGCTGAACGGAAAAAAATAGACCTGATTCTTCCATCAACCTAAGAGCGCGTCGATCGAGGAATCGCCGCTGTTTACATACAGCAGCTGCCGGCACCTGTCAGAATACCAGACCAGAGCGAGAAGTTCAATGGCTGCCGGCTCTGATCGATCGTAGATTTTTCCACCGGCTCCTTCGATCAGCTGATCGAGGGATGCCGATTGAGAGGGTGCCGACGGCAACACACACTGTGCGAATTTCAGCCGGTTCCTCAAAATCCAGCCGAAATTCGAACAGTGAATGGGCACCTTAAGGCACTGGTATACATGGGTCTCATATACAACAAACTAGAACACAACAAGCATTTAGGGATGTAGACAATAAAGAAAGCTACATTAGTTGCTGCGATCTAATCTAAACCAGCACATAGATAAAATAGCTACAAAGTGACCCAATTGAACCACAGTTTGTACATCCAAAGTATCATATTATGTGCCAACAAGGCATAGAGAGAGACATCGGGAGCGAAAGCAGGGAAACACAGTCTAGAATAGAAATCAGAAAAAGAAAAAAAGTGAGGGATAGAGAGGGTTGGTCTTTTTGTTTTTTTAAAGCAATTTATATGGATTTGTGCATTGGGTCATTGTGCTGAATGACCACATTTTCTTCCTAGGCTATGATATCTTAAGAACTCAATCAGGATTCCCTCTAGGATTTCCTTGTACATTGCTGCCTTTATTCTACCATCTAACTTTACAAGCCTTTCAGGGTCTGCTGTAGGAATCATACCCACAACATCATGCTGCCACCACCATGCTTCATGGTATTGATAGTGTGTTTATGATTTATGTGTTTGCATATGGTCTGATTGCTCAATTTGTGGTAAAGTCAGCTGACTCCAGAGTCTTGTTGCAAACTGTTGATGATATGTCCTGTAAGTTTTATTTACCAGTGGCTTTCTTTTTATCCACTCTCTGAAAAAGCACCCAGGGAATAGTTGTTGCATGCATAAATTCTCGAGTCTCAGCCACAGCGGCTTGTATTATTATACAGGATTTATATAGCACCAACTGTTTGCGCAGCATTTACAATACAAGGAAGACATTACAATACAATTCAAGACAAGATGGTAAGAAGGGCTCTTCCCGGGAGGGCTTACAATCTGAAAGGCAGGGACAAGTGATACATGAGTAGGTAGCTGTGTGGAGATGAATTGTTTGAGAACGTATATCTCCTTTACAATAGTCATAAGTCTCCTGGTGGCCTCCCTCACTAGTCTCCTTGGGCAGTCACTACCTTTTGATGGATGGACAGTGCTAAGCATTTTTAAAGCTGTGCCATGTTTTTTTTTTCTTAATTGATTAAACTGTAATCCAAGGGCTATTTATTGACTTAGAAATGTTTTC